TTGGGGCAGGTCTCCACACTGCCAGGCTGTGCTCCTCACTGCCTGAATGCTGTGTTGTGGCTGTGCACACATACGGGCATTTATCAGCCAAATTACTGGCCCCAACAGGCCAATTTCCAGTACGGTCAAATTTTGTTTATATTGGTACCAATCCAATACCAGACTGATATATCAGTGCATCTCTAATATAAAGCATTTATTTTACGAACACATGATCTATACAAATACATAAAAACAACAAAACTTTCCTAAAACTTTCATTCCAAAGTTTAATGCTGGCTCCATTACCCTCACTTAGTGGACATCTGTCTTAGCCTTTTTTGTTGTTGTTTATCTGGAAGCATTCAACTGAGTTTAGCTTTCAGCTGTTGGAGAATAACTGCCGATTTTTTCTTTTTAACATTTTTGGTTGGTTTGAGCCAATTGCATGAGTCAGTACACACAACTCAGTATGAAACTTATTTAACTCGTAAAAGTATACATTAGTAATTTGTTCGTGCTGTATTTTTTTGGTATGATGAAGAGCAAAAGATACATATTGTCTCATTAAATTTCAATTATGATTGCCATTATTAAAATTGGCAAAATATGGAATGTTGATTCTTTGCACAGTAATATATGCCTTCCTGTAACTTCACTTGGTTACTTTATTATAAATGAGTAAGATCATATAAGAGATTGCATGTAATATATGTTCAATTTTAAGATAACACGTGATGTACAGTTTCTAATGAAAGGTTTCTTGTATTTTTTTAATACATCATAAAGTAGCAGATAAGTGCTCAGCATAACTGTTGATCACACAGCTGTGGTACCTGGGCAGCTTTCTGAGACTACACTATTACCCAATTTCCTTGTTTAAGGAAACCACAAGACCTTTCAAGTTTCTTTACAGAACCTGGTCTTGATGCCTTGACAATAGTTTGAGGAAAGCTAATGGGTTTTCCAGAAATGTAAAATGGTTGTAGCCCATCCAAGTGTGAAAAAGCAAAAAGAAAAATAAATTTACTCCATCATCAGATTTCAAAGTAGCAAATAACATTCAAAGTTGCTGAAATTAACCAAAAAGGATTTTTGTTGCCCAACTCCATAACCACAGAGCAGCTCCTGAGAATTGGATAACATTCTCAGAAAGCCAGTGAGGCCACCACTGATGCATGCTCAACAGTTATGCTGGGCACTTCCCTGCTACTTCATGACCCATTAAAAAAAAATACAAAAAACCTTTCATTAGAAACTGTCCATCAGCCCTGGTCTTGAAGTAGGGTGAACAAAAAAGAGCCATGACCCTTTTACAAAGACAAGGCAGACAGAGATGGAGGAGGACACCTGGGAGTAAGAAAGAGCCACCACCACTGCTGATGTTACTTTGAATGTTCATGGCCATAAACGACTCTCTGCGGTTTCATTTCAGCCCATAGCCCGCAGGCTCTGTACCGTCCTCCAGAGTGAATCTAAGCTTGCCCCGCATTTAGAGACGGGCAACCCAACAGGTCAGGGGCGGCACAAGTATGAGTGCACGAGTAGCAAGAGCAGCCTGTGCAGCTGGCAGGCACCACAGCAGCAGCTCGGGCAAGAAGCAGAAGCCAGAGCAGCAGATTTGGCAGGGAACACGCAGCCGGGACCAAAAAAGAGAGCAGCAACGAGGGCAGGGGTACAGAGTAAGGCGCAGGAAGCAGAGCAGCAGCTCGGCAGGCAGCAGGGCAGGACAAAGCTCTTGGGGGCAGGAAGCGCACACCCACACCCACGTCCCTCCGGACCCCGCAACTCCAACCCCACACTCACAGGACACGGTCCAGCGGCTCCATCTCGATAGCCCCTGGCACACCCGGCTCGGACCCACGTGGATGCACCACGTACAACCGGAAGTCTGCAGTCCCTTTTTACTCCGTAACGTCACAACCACCTACCGGAAGCGGCGGCACCACTACTCCCTCCCCCCCACTGTTTAGTAGCTTGGCCGCCAGCGCATGCTCAGTGACAACGCATGAGGGCGCTGCCCTGAGCCGGGCGGAAAGTGTGGAGAGGGAAGCGCCGCGTCTGCTCCTGGTTGGCGAATAGGTCGCTTTTCAGTACGTGATCGTCGTTAGTACTGGTACTATCATCGTTATTATTGTTAACGTTGTATTATTAGACTAATAATAATGATGATAAGGATAATAACGATAATGTAATAAACCCTTTGCATTCTTTATTATCCTGCCAAAAGTAGAGTTGAAGAAGCCGGTGGGAATTACCCGCGCAAAACTCTAACCAGCAGAAATGAGGTTGAAGTTGATTCCTTATTTGGCAGGGGAAGCACCGTGACCACGTAGGCGGGCTCCCCAGGGCAGGTGGTTGTCCCTAATAGGTCCTCCATAGGAGGTCTATATTGAGTAGATTTTTGGTGTTGGGAGGTGGAACTGGAGCTTTCTCCATCCACTCCATGCATCGGCCTGGTATTGATTGCAGTGCAGTCCAGGAACGGTACAATAAACAAACAAACAAACAAACAAAAATTATTTCTAGTCCCTTTCTCAAACCCAATCTATACGCACTAAAAACTTGTTATTTGTGAATTACACATTCTAAAAAGAGATAATTAAATATACATAGCTGATGGAATACGTAAAATAATATCCTACATCAAGTACAGAGCCCTAAATGAAGACCAAATTAGGGTAGGATTATAGGGCAAAATACTTTTTGGGCCCTGCTACTGAGGGACTGTCCCAAATAACCCTGAGCACAATTGGAATAAGGAACCAACTTCAACCTCATCCAGCAGAAGCCTTTTTACACATATCTTCATGGGCATGTTTATGCCCCATCAGGTTGTGCCTAGATCCTGGTATTTGTCGGGGCACGGTGTTATTTTGTTTTTTTGCTAAAGATTAGCTAGAATACTTAGAGCCCAGTATACCTCTCTTCTTTCTCCAGCTGCATAGTACATACAGAAATGCCTGTATGGAATCTGTGAGCAATTCACACACCCGTCTTACTGCTGTTAGGACCACGTCAAGCTAATACATATAGTTGCAATATATGGCTATTTTAAAAAACAGCAAAAATGTATTAATATTACTTCATTGTATGTTTTATTTATGCTTTGATGAGGCATTTCTCCTTTTTTTAACACTGTATTGCCATGTTTATTACTACTATTTCAATACATAAACCGTCTAACCCTTTAATTTTGGTTTAATGTATTTTTCTATCAAATTAAGGAGCATCTAACATTTATTTCCTACCTTTGTTATTTCCAAACATTTAACTTTTGTTACATACTACATTTCATAGTTTCTAGGGTCGGAAGGGACCCGAGCAGAT